GGTAGGTACACCTGTGTCGTGCAATCCCCATGGAGGTCAGAAGAGGGCGTTGGATCCCCTGGAACTGGAGTTGTTAGCCACCATGTGGGTGTTGGGAATTAACCTGGGTCTTCTGCAAGAGAGCAGTCAGTGCTTTTAACATCGCAGAGACATCGCTCACCATTGATGGTATCTACTACGTGGTGGACCCTGGATTTGTGAAGCAGAAAGTTTACAATTCTAAAACGGGGATTGACCAGCTTGTGGTAACTCCTATTTCTCAGGTATGACTGCTTCTACTGTAAACTATCCTGAAAATCTTGATGATTTGTTACGGTTCTGGGTGGGTTTCTTTCCTTTTGCTCATTTGCTTCTTTTTGTCTTTTTGAGACAGGGTTTCCCTGCAGCCCCAGCTGGTCTAGAACTCACGACTAGACCAGGTTGGTCTTGATCTCACAGAGATCTGCCTGTCTCTGCCTCCCAAGTGCTGAGATTAAAGGTATGCCCATCACATCAGGCACCTACCTGTTTTTTAAGAGGGTTCTGGAGATCCAAACTCTGGACTTCATGTTACATAGCAAAACCTTACCCACTGAGTCATCTCTCCAGACCAACAATTTTTTTAAAGACAGGGTCTCGCACACCTTTATTCCCAGCACTTGGGAGGCAGAAGCAGGGAGGTCTCTGTGAATTCAAGGCCAGTTTGGGCTACATAGTGAGTTCCAGGCCATCTGGGGCTACAGGGAGACGCTGTCTCAAAAAGGACTAAAAAAAAAAGACAAGGTCTCACTATGTAGCCCCGGCTGACCTGGAATTTGCTATGTAGACCAAGTCCAATAATTTTGAGCACCCATCGGTGCATAGCATTGCAGGGGTGGGGGGCATAACTGGACAAAGTCCAACATAGTGCCTCTTCTGAGAGTTTCTAATAGAGTAGGAAGCTAACCATAAACCGGTAATAAACAACTTAGGGTTGAATAGGTACTGTGAAGAAAGTCAAACATCAGTGTGGTGATACATACACTTTGAATCCCAACACTTAAGAGGCAAAAGAAGGCAGAGTTCAAGACCAGCCTGGTCTACCTAGTGAGCTTGAGGCCATGCAGGACTATATAGTGAGACTATCTCAAGCAAGCAAACAAAGTCAAACAGGGCAAGGGTGCGGCTTGGCAACAACACTTTCCAGCACGTGAAAGGCTATGGGTTCCATCCCCAGCCTTCCTCCTTTTCCTCCTAACAATAATAAATTAACAGGATGTAATGCGTGCAAATAACCCTGGAATACTGAGCTAGCAAAAGCAAGCGACATTTTGATTGGTGAAATTGTGGGAGAAATGCCTTCTGGGAGGATTTAACAAGTTCAAAGGTCTTGAGGGGGTGTCTTAGAAATGAGCTTAAGGTAGGAGAGTGGCAAGATTAGAGCGACTGAAGGAGAGTAGGGAATGAAACTGAGGATGAGGCCTGGTGGGGGACTGACTCAGGCAGCTGGGGTTTTATTCTACGTGAGTGTAAGAATGGAAGTTTCAAGGAAGAGAAAGATATGAGTCAATTGGTATCCTTTTTTGTTTTTGGATTTTGAAGACAGGGTCTCCCAGTAGCCTCAGCTGGAACTCACTTTGTAGACCAGGCTGGCCTCCATCTCACAGAGATCTACCTGCCTCTTGAGTGTTGGGATTAAAGGTGTTCCACCATACCCAGCTAATTGGTATCCTTTAAAAAAAAAATGCTCAGGCATGGTGGCACATGCCTTTAATCCCAGCACTTGGGAGGCAGAGGCAGGTGGATCTCTGTGAGTTCTAAGCTAGCCTGGTCTACATAGCAAGTTCCAGGCCAGCTGGGGCTACAGGAAAACCCTGTCGCAAAAAAAAAAAAAAAAAAAAATCACACACCTGAGGAGGTCAGAGGACAATCTTAGGTGTGTAGGTCGCCACCTCCACTTTGAGACAGGGTTTCTTGTTCACATTTGTATATGTATGGCAGGCTAGCTGACCCATCCTGCCATAGGATCCCTGATTACAGATGTATGCTACTGCATGCAACTATTATGTGGATTCTGGGGATCTGAATTTTATTTATTTATATATTTATGCATGTATGTATGTATTTATTTATTTATTTTTATGTGTATGTGTGTATTGCCTGCATGTAGATGTCGTGCAATGCCTGTGGAGGTCAAAAGAGGCTGTTGGAGCCCCTGGGACTGGAGTTAGGGACAGTTGTCAGCTGCCATGCCAGGATTCGAACCCAGGTCTTCTGCAAGAACAGTGTTCTTAACCACTGAGCCATCTCTCCAGGCTCCTGAATTTATTTTTTTAATTTTATTTATAATTTTTATTTTATATGTATGAATGTATTGCCTGCATGTAGGTAGATGCACCTGTGTTGCACAGTGCCCTTGGAGGACAGAAGAGGGTTCCCTGAAACTGGAGTTTCAGACAGTTGTCAGCCACCATGTGGATGCTGGGAATCTAACCCAGGCCATCTGCAAGAGCAGCCAGTGTTTTTAACCACTGAGCCATCTCTTCAGCCCCTTGAGATCTCAATATAGGTCCTTACATGTAGCAAACATTTTACCCACTAGGATATCTCCCAAGAACCTCTTTAAAAAAAATTATATTTTTGGCCAGGTGTGGTGGTGCACACCTTTAATCCCAGCACTCGGGAGGCAGAGGCAGGCAGATTTCTGTGAGTTCGAGGCAAACCTGGTCTCAATAGCGAGTTCCAGGCCAGCTGGGGCTACATGGACACCCTGTCTCAAAAAGAGCCCCCCCCCCGAATTTATATTTCTTAAAGACAGGGCAGTCCAGAGTTGCCTTGAATTCAATATGTAACTGAATTTACCTTCTTGCCTCTGCCTCCCAAATGCTGGGGTTATAGTGGGCACCATCACATCTAGCTTGCAGACTTCTGGTACCTTCTTGAGATCCCCCCTTCTTCCATCCTCTCTGTGGATTAGATCTACCTTCAGGGAGCCTGTCTATTTTGACTTAGATGCAATGTCCCCCACCTCATAGGAGTGAAGTATTTGTTGGAAAGCCAAGCAACCACAGATAAAAATCCCCATCTTCGCCATGCAACCCTTCCAGAAAAGTCCCTAATGCAGTGTGAACTCACTTGGGCATGACCAGTGCAGTGACACGTGACATGGCTTCTTCGTGGCTTCTCTTCTCTTTGCCTTCATGCTCCCCAGCCTGGGTTCAGCTGTCCAGCCAGGTGTGAACTACTGAACCCAAACCTGGCATGGCTTCCAAGCATACAATCCTAGAGACCTGTATTTAGTCCTAGAGGGTCTTTGGGCATTTTTTGTCCCTTTAGAGCCTCAGGAGCACATTTCCTAACAAGAAAAAGGTTGACTTCTCAGTAGCTGAGAGCCTTAGCCTGTGACATACATGCCATGTGTACATCATGTGTCTGAGATGTTTACACTGGAAATGATCATAAACACCATGATTAAACAAGGCTCTGGGCACACTTTAATCACAGCACTCAGGAGACAGAGGCAGGTGGATCTCTGCGAGATTGAGGCCAGAACTACACAGTGAGTTCTAGGCCTACTGGGGCCACAGGGAGATCCTAGCTCCAAAATAGCAAAATGAGGCTTTGAGGCTCTTCCAGAGGACCCCAGATTTGGTTCCCAGCACTGTGACACGTAATATCCATCCTTAACTCCAGTTCTAGGAGATCCCATACCCTCTTCTGGCCCCCACAGGCATTGCATGCACATGATGTACTTACAAAAAACCAATACAAATTATAACTATTTTTAAAACTTTTATTTTTATGTGTGTGGGTGTATTGCCTGCATGTAGGTAAGTGCACCTGTGTCATACAATGCCTGAGGTCAGAAGAGGCTGTCCGATCCCTTGGGACTGGAGTTATGGACAGTTAGCTGCCATGTGGGTGCTGGGATTCGAACCCGTGTCTTCTGCAAGAACTAGTGTTCTTAACTGCTGAGCTCTCTCCAGCCCCCTAAATATTTTATTTTTTATGAGCATGAGTGTATTGCCTAGATGTATGTAAGTGCACCCATGTCATGCAGTGCCCACAAAGGCCAGAAGAAGGTATGGGAATTTGGCATGGTTATGGGCTGCCATGTGGGTGCTGGGAACCAAACCCAGGTTCTCTTGACCTCTGAGCCATCTCTCTAGCCCCTAAATATATATATATATATATTTTGGTCTTTTTGACACAGGGGTCTCCCTATAACCCCAACAGGTCTGAAACTCACAATGTAGAGAAGGCTGGCACATCCACCTGCCTCTGCCTTCCAAGTACTGGGATTAAAGGCATGTGCCACCATGCCTAGCTAAAAAATAAAGTTTAAAAAACAAAAACCAAAGCTCCTGCTGGGGCCACAGCTCAGCAGTAAAATCCACCTGTGAGGGGTTGGGGAGTATGGCACAGTGATAGTGTACTTTCAGAGCATGCTGCCTTTCCCTAGCACTACAACAAAAAACAGCCAAGAGGCCAACTAAGCTTGAATTGTATGTCTGTGGCCCCCCCTTTTTTCTCCCTTTCTACTCCTGCCAAAATGACTCAGATAAACTTAAGTTTTCAAAATTTTGTGTGATGGGTGTGTTGGTACATACCTTTAATCCCAGTACTCAGGAAGCAGAGTCAGGCAGATCTTTGAGATCTAGGCCAGCCAGAGTGAGTTACATAGTGAGACTTTGTCTCAAAAAACAAAAACCAAATTGTTTTCTTTTGCAATGGTAGGGGTCAAACCAGGGCCTCACACAAACATACACTATGCAACAGTTCTATTATTCTGTTATACTTAAGCCTCTAAATTTTAGTTTTCCTATGCAAATGTAAAATGTGATATAGTATCTATTTCTTTATAATCCTGAAGTTCGAAGGGCTTAATTTGCATAAAATGGTTATGACCAGGCTCAGTAACTGTTTTATACAATGATACACCTGCTCCACCTTTGTCAAAGAAAGGGTAGTTACTAGTCTAAAGAACTTACCTGGTTCTTCCCATCACCCCAGTGACGTTTACAAAAAAGATTACACCATACTTTCAAAATACTTTTATTAAAAAAAGAAAAACAATTTAAAAAAAGCCACTACAAACCCTTTCTTTTTAAATAATGTGGCATGAAGCAGGTTGATTTCCACCTATTGCACGTGGTCCGGCCTGGTTATGAATCAGGAGGCTGCTGGGACTGGGGTTCTTGCCAAGGAAGTGGGGTTCAGCCTAGAGAGGAGACCAGCCCCTCCTACTACCTCAGGAGGTAGAGCCTGGGTTCCCAGAGCAACCAGGCAGCCCACCCATCACCCTCTGACAGACCCAGCTTTATCTACCCTGAGGCCCTTGTGGTGACAAGGGTAGTGGGAACTAGAGGCAGAAGAACTGTGTGAGCAATTGGACTCCTCAAAACAAAGTCTCATTAAGGCCTTTGGAAGAGATAAATTAATTCAGGAAGACCCACCTTCACAGAAGGCTGGGGTAACCAGACACGCACACATGCTCGACAGTTTGTGGAACCCTGAAATGGGGGGAAAGGAGGCCACAGTCAGTTTAGGGCCTCCAAACACACACACAGAAGTCACTTCCAAGGACCCAGCCCACGGAGGCTGATGTGGGGGGTCTTAGGACCCCAGGATGATTTCCATGATATGGTCCAATTCATTCCACTCCCAGGACCCTGGGGCACAGAAGAGGCTGTGAGGAGGCTCTGGGGGTACCAGGGTAGATTCCTTCTCCACTGCAGATGTGTCAATGTCTAGAAAGAAGTCATCCAAGCCAGAGTCCCCCAGGTACCGGGAGCTCAGAGCTTCTAAGAAGACAGGATCCGCCTGGGGCATCACTTCATCCTGGAGACCTGGGGAAGCCACTGGATTCGGAGGTGGTTCTGTCTCATCCATGGATGTATCGAGCTCCCTGAGGATAGAGCCAATGGTGGCAGACAGGGAGAAATCTTCTTCGCCTAGGAAGAGAGGTTCCAAGGGTGGGGCAGGTGCCGGAGCCAGACGAATGGCAGCCTGGAGCTGCTGCAGTGTATTGTGGATAAGGACATGCCTGCGGAGGCTGGGTGCTCTGGGGCCAAGGCTGCGCTGGACTTTGTCCAGAGAGATTCGGAGCAGGGCTTGCTGATAGCTTCGAAGACCTGCAGGGTTCCACTCCCACTTTCCATCTTCCTCCTCCTCCTCTTCCAAATCAGAGTGCTTCCTCTTCAGGCCTCCCATGTCCTATGGGAAAAAAAGAAGGCAAGTCAGACACAGGGGTCCTTCAGATCCCACTTTTTCAGGCAGGTCTAATTTTAAGAGAATGTCTATTTAAAGTACAGATAGCCAGAACCCTGCAAAGCTAAGTACAGGTGAATACATGCATGGGATTAAGAGAACAAGGTGTGGGGAGGGTAGTACATGATTGTAACTGTAATCTTAGCATTTGGGAGGTAGAGGCAGGAGGTTTCAAAATCGGGGGGGGGGGGGCGGGCCTCCAAGAGACCTTGTCTCAAAAAAAAAAAAAAACAGAAAAAGAAAGTAAAAACACCACAGCTGGGCTGTTTGGAAAGTAAGTTTTTTTTTTTTTTTTCTTGAGATAGGGTCTCCCTGAAGCCCAAGCTGGCCTTGAACTCAATCCACCTACCTCTGCCTCCTTAGTGCTGGGATTAAAGGCATACCCAGCCCTGAAAGAAAAAGATCTTAATTCAAGTCTCCATGGATCTGGTAATTTTTCTTCCACAAGACTCATTTCTAACAAGTCACCTGACAGGTATGGGCTAAGGGGCTTAACTCTGTGATCCTGGGAAGTGACATGGTGTCACTGCTCTGAACCTCAGTTTCCTCACCTGTTACATGGGCAAAGGAGAAGTACTTCTCACATCTTCACGACCTCCTGTGGAATAGGCAGGGACAGCACCCAGAACTGCTTAATGAACAATTAGGCTGATATTTATTCCTCTAAGTTTTATTTATTGGGTGCCTACTATATTTGTCAAGGTCAGTTAAGGCACCTTCATGTCGAAATTCTTTTCTTAAAAATGTATAAGCCGGGCGTGGTGACACACGCCTTTAATCCCAGCACTCCGGAGGCAGAGGCAGGTGGATCTCTGTGAGTTCAAGGCCAGCCTGGTCTTATATAGTGAGTTCCAGGACAGTTGGGGCTACAGGGAGACCCTGTGTCAAAAAAAACCCTCCAAAGTATTATTTTTAAATTTTATGTGTTTTGCCTGTATGTATGTAAATACAATGACCCAGATTCCCTGCAATTGGAGTTGGACAACTGCTAGCTGGAAATTGAAACTGGGTCCTCTAACAGCAAGCGTTATTAACCATGAGCCATCTCTAGCCCGTCTTTATGTTACAGAGCTCTCCCCACGCTGGGCGTAGTGGAACACGCCTTTAATCCCAGCACTCAGGAGGCAGAGGTAGGCAGATCTCTGTGAGCCCAGCCTAGTCTAACATATTGAGTTTCAGGCTAGCTGGGGCTAAAGGGAGACACTGCCTTAAAAAACAAACAAACAAAAAACAAAAAACCACGGGAGAGGTCCCACCAGCAGGAAAAGAACCTTCCTCAATTCCTATCACCCGGCCGCCAGCAACACCCAAAGCCGGCCACCTAGGAAAGCTTGCTAAAGCCCCGTCCCCTGGCGACCCGTTCAACCAGACCACGGCTTCTCCAAGGCCCCACCCTTCTCTAGGTCTCCAAACTGGGTTCAGGAACGCCCCAATTTGCCCCCAGGGCCTTCTGGGAAATGTGGACCCAGCGCTGCCAGGCAGACGCGCTCAAGTGGACCTCGAACTACAATTCCCAGAGGGCCCTGCTCGCCAACAGGACGGAACTCCACCGCCCTCTATTAGGGCATGCGCACCGGGGGGGGGGTGTCCAGGCTGGTGGGGGAAGGGAACCCGGACGTCCAGCTGCCGGGCGCCCGCAGAGCCCCGCCCTCCGCTGCCTCAGGGGCGGCGGGTCTGAGCTCCACGCCCCGAGCACCCCTCCCCCACCCGCCTCCAGGCCAAAAACTGTTTTCTCTAGGTCCCTACCACCTCAGGAGGTCCTGGATTCTGAATGCCCCAAACTGTCCTCTAGACTCAGACCCAGACCTCCACCCACACTGCTCAAAGACCATAAGTAACTCTCGGTACATCCCTCGCCCGGGAGACTGGGGCTCTCGATTCTGAGACTCAGATTCCCCATCTCTTAATCGCCCGACTTTCACCCAACTCTGACTTTACTTTCCAAACTCCCCTCCCGGCTCCGAGTCCCCAACACTGAACTCGCCCCCGGTATCCCCTCCTCGCCCCCGCGCCTCTATCTGGTTTCTCTGAACGCTCCTGATCCTAGCCTTTAAGCTCTCAAAACTTTTCCAGAACCCCGTGGAGCTCCGAATTCATCCCGTCCAGGCTACCCAAATTGTCCTAATCTCCAGAGTCGTTCCCCCGCCAAGTCCTTTCCTCTATCGCTTCTCCAAACTCCAACTCCAACTCCCTCTTGAATATTTCTGCGACCCGTCCTGATGCTCCAGCTTAGTCTCTAGTCTTCATTCACTCTAACTCCCTCCCTCGGGTCCAGACCCCGCTTCCGCCCATCCTGGGGGCGCGCCCCCTTCTCCTCCAACTCCAGGGAGCTCCCCAGCCAAAGGGCCCCTCCTCACCTCGGCTGCCAGGTTCGCTACGACCGCCTCCCGGAATGCCTGCAGCGCCGCAACTCACGAGCACTGGCCTGGGGATCTCGCTCACCTTCCCCGGCCCCTGCGTCTAGCCTGGGGCCACCCGGCTCCGCCCAGGAGGCAATCGCGAACTGTGATTGGTTGGAATCTTGCCCACCGCAGGGCGGGGATTGGCCGGGCGGAGCCACCGCCTCACGCCCGGCCCTGCCCCTCTCCCCTCCCAAGGCTGGGTCCCATCAAGGATGGCAACTTGTCGGGGAGCGGGGCGGAGTCTCCAGGGTGGAGGGTGGCAGGGCGGTCGGAACCGCTTCTTTGGACTCTGCGGATCTTCTGGACCCGAGACTATCAGCAGGGTTCGCTGAGGTCCGTTCACACCGGGCCAGGACCCCACTGCGGAGCGGGACGGGGTGGCGGGACACTCCCCTCCGTGGTGGCATCGACGGATCCAGCAGCTAGCGAAGGCCACGCCCCCAGAGTTCCGAGTGGGGCCTGAGGCACTAAGTGGCAGCCAATAGCATGACGCGGCCTGCGTTGCCCGGACGATCGCAGCCCCACCCCTTAGCTGCGCCCTCTGCGTTCACCCTTCGCAGTCCTTACTCCCCACCCTACACAGTTCGAGAAGGCGGGGCTCCTGCTTAACCCTGAGGTCTCACCCCTGCCTTTCAGGTGGTAACCCAGGGAACGCCAACCCCCAACCTTCTGAGCACTGAGATTAAAGGCGTGTGTCCCTAAACCAGGCCAAACTCCAGGCGGATTTTATTCGTTTTGAGAAAGGGTCTCATTATGTATAACTGGGACCCACTGTGTAGACCAGGTTAGCCTAGAAATCAGAGATCCACCTGCCTCTGCCTGCAGAGTGCTGGGATTAACTCGCATCTGGTGGATTTTATGTTCTGTTTTGTTTTTTACTACTTTTTCCCCCATTGGGCCACAAGATTATTGGATAGATAGATAACAGCAGAGTGGAGGACTCTGAGAGTTCAGGCCCAAGGACCAGAACACAGCATGGCTGAAGCTCTGAAAAGAGGAAATCAGGGCTTCTTTTTATTTATTTATTTATTTATTTATTTATTTATTTATTTACTTATTTACTTACTTACTGACAGGGTCTCTCTAATCCCAGTTTGCCTGAAAGTCACTATGTGGACCAGGCTGGGTGGCCTGGAGCTCACAGAGATCTGCCTTACTTTGGATGCACACCTTCCTGAGCTGCCTTTTAAATGTCTCCTCTTTTCATAAATCCACCCTGACATTTCAGACTGGCTCAGGACCTGTTCTGGGCTCCAATAGTCTCTTTGTGCCTCCCTACCCTAGCCCCAACCTTCTCCCTATGCCCTCTCACCTCATTCCCCACCACCTAAACCTGAGGTCAGGTACAAAGCTTATCTTTCCTTGGTCTGCAGTATCCCCTGACTAAATGCTGGGTGTAGAGCAGGTACTCAGTGAAAACTTTGTTAAATACTCAGGCAATATACAGAAAGAGAAATTCAGATGGCAGAAAAATAAAAATCAAAACGGACCATTGATGATGCCTGGGTGGGTAAAGGCACTTGCCACAAAGCCTGACAACCTGAGTTCAATCCCTGGGACCCACAAAGTGGACTGTAGAAAGTTGTCCTCTGACCTCCATATGCACATTGTGACAGGCAAACACAAATACATGTACAATAAGAAAGTGTTCAAAACAAACAGGCAAACCCACAGTTGTGTTCTGAAGGTCTGCAGTCATAAAACTCCAGGTCTACCACAGGCTTGACTTTTACTGAGCTCAGACAGGCAGCGTCTCCCTCCACTTCTATTAAGGGAGGAGGTTCGTGGGTCCTCAGACCAGTTCTCCTGGTTGGAATTTGCTGTCTTCCTGTTGTTTGCTGTGTGGGACTAAAAAGGATTCCTCTTGGGAGAACAGAGGTGGGGTGGGTAGGTAGGTGGATGGAGGGAGGAGGAGACAGAAGTGGCTCCCCCAGGCATGAGGAAAGTGTCCTGGGGAACAAAGGAAGAAAGTAGATCTCAAAGAGGTGTTGGGAGGTGCTTCACCAAAGAAGACCACTCAGACAAAGTTTTGCCAAATGAAAGTCTTGCTGGCCAGGGACTACATAGGGGTCTCAGAACCCAAGTGTGTAGCCCAGAGCAATTTCTAGGGTAAGCTTTTATACAAAGAAACCATAACCAGGGGTGAAAAGTTTAAGTGCCCAAGCTTACAGGTGCAAAACCCCCTTAACAATTTTTATTCCATTAAGCAACAATTACTATTTTGCAGAAGCAAGTCAAGCATAACCTACAGAAGCCATAAATCTGCAGTTAACAGGTACACTCCAGGACACACTGACCTGTTCCCAAGACAACTGGGGTCTCTGGGCCAACTACCTGATAATTCAGACTAGAGTCAGCCTAAACTTTAACATGGCATAGCTATAGTCAAGAAGGTGCCATATCACAAGGGACACCATTGACTATAAATGTAAAATATATGTACATATATATAAGATTAAATTTATGTCTATATGTGTGTGAGGGTATCCTTGGAAGCTAGAAGACTGTGTTGGATCCCCTGAAGTTGAAGTTACAGTAATTGTGAACCACCCAACATAGGTGCTGGGAATTGGAACTCAAGTCCTTGGGAAGTGCAGCATGTTGTCTAAATCACTGAGCAACCCCCCCCCCGCCCCTTTTTGAGATAGGGTCTCCCTGTATTCCCTGCTGGCTTGGAATTAGCTATGTAAACCAGGCTGGCTCCATCTCACTGAGATCTGCCTGTCTCTGCCTCCTGAGTACTGGGATTAAAGGCATGGACTATCATACCCAGATTGTGTATATATATATATTTAATGGATTCCTAGGGAAAGTGAGTTTTTTATTAAGTACTAGGGCTTGAACCCAGGGTTTCACACATGGTAGGCAAATGCTCTACTCAACTCTTCCTGATTTTTGAGATTGGTCTCCTTAAGTTACCAAGGCTGGTCTCAACTTCACTCTGTAGCCAAGGCTGGCCTCCAACTTTCCATTCTCTGTGTTTAGCCTTCAGTGTAGCTAGGATTATAGGTCTTTGCCAGCAGGCCTGGCAATGAAGGGGCACTTTCCCCAGTCCCTTCCTGTTCCTAAATCTGCCATTCCACCAACGTCCCCATGTCAGGAAAACACGAATGTTACCTTGGTTACAGTTCTGGGCTTCTTCCCAGAGGTCTCCCTCCTGTCTCCCACAGACTCATCCACTCAGGATCCTCAGGGTCCTCCCAACTCTTCTGTCCACCCCAAAGCCCCTTGGTCCTGCTCGCCTAGGCTCTACCTTCACACAGTAGCCAAGAGCAGCTTTAAAAAACATGAACCTAAGCCCTGTGTAGTGGTGCATACCTTTAATTCCCGCACTTGGGAACTGGAGGTAGGAGAATCAGGGGTTCCAGATCATCCTTGGCTACATAGAGAGTTGGAGGCCAGCCTGGGCTATAAGAGACCCTGTCTCAAAAAAAAAAAAAAAAAAAAAAAAAAAAAAACCAACCAAAAAAAAACTTACTACCATGGACCCGTGCCCCTCTCTTTCCTTCCTTGCATAAAACCCAAGTAAAAGCTAAAAATGTTTTGGTTTTTAGGATTAAAACTGAAATTAGTTAGCTATAATGCAGGTGCTGGGAACTGAACCCTGGTTCTCAGGAAGAGCAGCCAGCGCTCTTAACCACTGAGCCAGCTCTCTATCCACTCTTTTAAAGGATTTAAAAAAAATATTTTATTTATTTAAGCACTCACATACATGCAGGCAATACACTTATACACATAAAAATAAAATATTTTAAAAAATATAAAATATTTTAAAAAGAAAAAATATATTTTATTTATTATTTTTATTAGTTTATGTGTATGTGTGTATTGCCTGCATGTAGGTAAGTGCACCCATATTGTGCAATGCCTGAGGAGGACAGAAGAGGCTGTTGGATCCCCTGGAGCTGGAGTTATGGACAGTTGTTAGCTGCCATGTGGGTGCTGGGATTAGAACCTGGGTCTTATGCAAGAACAGTCGGTGTTCTTAACCACTGAACCATCTCTCCAGCCCTCTTTTAAAAGATTTTTGATACATGGTCTCACCTTTTAGTCCATGCCAGCATGCAACTACAAAGCCTGGACTGGTCTCAAAATTTTGCCAGTCCTCCTGCCTCAGTATCCTGAGAGCTGGGATTACAGGGATTACAGCTCTAAATCACCTTGCCCAGCAAAGCTATCTCTTTTTAAAAAATCTCTTCCATTACATTTACTTGTGTTGCTGGGGGGAGGTCCTGCATGTGTGCCAGCAAATCCTTTTTGCTCCTCCAGCTGGGTCAGGTGGCCTCTCCAGCCCAATTTTCTGGGGCTCTGGTGTGTCACTTTGGTTGAAGGGGCAGAGCCATCTATCCCATTGGTCTGTGAGATCTAGGAAATCGAGGTTGTGGCCACCTAGGCCACCACTGGTCACCCAGCACAGGGCTGGGCACAGAGAAACTAAAAGAACTCTTACCAAACGACACTAAAATTTTCACAGATGGTGTGGTGGGGCAGACCTATAATCCTAGCTATGCAGGAAACTGAAGCAGGAAGATCAAGAGTTCAAAGCCAGACTGGGCAACTTAGCAACACCTTATCTCTAAATAATAAAAAAATTAAGAGAAGGTTGGTAAGATGGCTCAGGGGCGAAGGCGTGTGCTTCAAATCCTGACAACCCAAGTCGAATCACCAGGACCCACAAGAAGAGAGAAATCACTCATGCAAGGTGGCTTCCGAGCTCCACAGATGTGCTGTGGCCCACCACTCCCCCCAAATAAATAGAATTTAAAATAAAAATTTTTTCTTGAGACAAGGTCTCCCTATAGCCCCAGCTGGCCTGGAACTTGCTATACACACCAGGCTGGTCTTCATCTCACAGAGCTCTGCCTGCTTCTGCCTGTGGAGTGTTGGGATTAAAGCTATGCACTACCATATCCAGCTAAAAAAAAAAAAAGAAAGAAAAAAGGCTTGGGGCATGGTTTAATGATAGAGCACCTGCCTAGAATCCCCTAGTGAAGAGCTGGGGGTGTGACTCAGTGGTAGAGCACCTGACTAGAATACCCCAGTGAGGGGCTGGGGGTGTGGCTCAGTGGTAGAGCCTCTGCCTAGAATCCCCCAGTGAGGGGCTGGGGGTGTGGCTCAGTGGTAGAGCACCTGCCTAGAATCCCCCAGTGAGGGGCTGGGGTGTGGCTCAGTGGTAGAGCCTCTGCCTAGCATGTGCAAGGCCCTAAAGAAGGTTACAGCACTGTGTGGTGGTGCAGGCCTTTAATCCCAGCACTTGGGAGGCAGAGGCAGGTGGATCTCTGTGAGTTCAAGGCCAGCCTGGTCTACATAGTGAGTTCTAGGACAGCTGGGGCTACAAGGAGACCCTGTCTCAAAAAGACAAAAAAAAAAAAAAAAGAAGGTTACAGAGTGGAAAATCAGGGTTGAGTCTTTTGAAATAATTTGTAGCTCTTGGCTCAGATTTTATTTCTCCCTCTTTGTGTCTCATTTCCCAGAATGCCACTCTCCTTGCCGGGGCCAGGGTCCTATTTGTACTGGTGGGAGGGGTAGGTGTTATGTCCGTCATACTCATCAGTGGTCAGGCAGCGCAGCATGAAGTGGCCTAGGTCATGTTTGGAGATGACCCTCGAGGGCCCTTTTCCATCTAGGGTCACCGTGTAGGCTCCAGTTAGCGGCTGGTCCCCTGTGGGATAAAGACAGAGGGAATGAATGAAGCTTCCTCCTGTTTTTTCCTTTCTTTCTTTTTTTTTTAATACTGAGCTAGCCTCAAGCTCACAGAGATCCACCTGGGCCTCCTGAGTGATAAGATTAAAGGTGTGGGCCACCAGGCTTGGCTATTATTATAATTTTGTATATGGTGCGTGTGTGCACATACCATTGTGCATGTCCACCAGGGATTCTAGGGGTTGAACTCAGGTTGTCAGGCTTATATGACAAATGCTTTTCCCACTAAGCTAACTCATCAGTAAGATAGCTCTTTTCTTTATTTCTGAGACTGGATCACACAGTGTAGCTCAGGCTGGCCTGGAATTTACCATATAGCCTAGGCTGGCCTTGAACTTACAGCAATCTCCCTACCTCAACCTCCTCGATGCTGGGATTTCGGGTGTGTGCCATCACAGATGGATGTCTTTTCACCTTTCCTAACATGTGATCATTCGAAAGTCTTTTCCAGGGTGCCACTCTGCCCTGTCCAATTGGTTTAGAAGTCAAGGAAGGGCTTCCTGATAGGGAGCTTAGCAACCTCCTTTGTTTCTTCTGTTCTACAATTTGTTGTTTGTTCAATCAACTTATCACTACCCATTTTTAGCATCCGTCAGCCATTTATTCATCCACCCATACATAAGTCAGGGAATGTAAGATCAGTACTTCAAATGGCTGCCAGGCACACAGTTCATATGTAGGAGGCCTCTAGCTAGGCTTGGTAGGACACATCTTTAATCCCATTGCTTGGGAGGCAGGAAGATCTCTGTGAGACAGAGGCCAGCCTGTCTTATATAGTGAGACCCTGTCTCAACAAACAAACAGGCCTCTACTGAACGAATGACCTTCTCCCTGTGACTCTGTCCCTCTTGATTTGGATTCCAGACCTGGGAGGGGAAAGGGGCTCAGGTATAGTTTACTGGTTCCTTTTACATGACCAAGAGATTTCTTTTTTTGACTGAGACTTGATTATGTAGCCCAGCCTGGCCTCAAATTCACGATCCTCCTGTCTCAACTTGGTAAGTGCTGGGATGATAGGTGTGCACTGGTCTGGCATCCTCTGAGCTTCTTTCCCTGGGAACCCAACTATGATGTGACGAAGCCCTGGTCACACAGGGAGGCCACATATAGGTGTTCTAGGAGAGCATCTGCATCTGTCCCCAGAGTATCTGTGAGGAAGACTCCCACATCACTACTGTCCCTGCCACAATCACTGTGTGAAAGAAATCCCTGTGCAAGAGCCACTTGCTGAGCCTGGTTCACTTCCAGCACTGGAAGGTAATCATAATAAATGATGGCGATTTAATTTCTGAATCCTACACGGTTTGTTACAACACAGATAACAGAATGGTGCAACAGGAAGGAGTCCAGCCGGGCGTGGTGGCGCAAGCCTGTAGTCCCAGGACTAGGGAGGCAGAGGCAGGTGGATCTCTGTGAGTTCAAGGCCAGCCTGGTCTACATAGTGAGTACCAGGACAGCTGGGGCTCCAGGGAGACCCTGTCTCAAAAACGACCAAAAAAATAAAAAAAGAAAGGAGATCGAACAAAACCAGGAGTGGTGGCCAACATCCGTAATCCCAGCCCTGGGGATGCGGAGGTAGGAGGATCAGAAGAAGTTCAAGACCAACCTGGGCTACACTGAAAGTTGGGGATGGTGGCATATACCTTTAATCCCAGAACTGGGGAGGCAGAGGCAGGCAGATCTCTGTGAGCCTGGTCTACATAGAGAGTTCCAGGCCAGCTGGGACTACAGGGAGATCCTGTCTCAAAAGAGACAAAACAAAAAGAAAGTTCAAGGCCAGCCTGGGCTACAGGAGACAGGTGATGAAATAAAGTAAGGAAGGACAGAAAGTGTGTTTGTGGGGCTAGAAATAAGGCTCAGCAGTTAGGAGAACCTGAGTTTGATTCCCAGCACCCATGTCAGGCAGCTCACAGTAACATGAAACTCAAGTACTGCATTCAGGTGCACACACACACACACACACACACACACACACACACACACACACACACAATTTAAAAAAATAATAAAGGAACTGGAGAGATGGCTCAGCATTAAGAACACTGCTCTTGCAGAGGTCCCAGGTTTGATTTCCAACACCCACATGGTGGCTAACAATCGTCCGTCACTCCAGTTCCAGGGGATCTGACACCCTCTTCTGACCTCGAGCATTGCACATGGGACCACTTACACAAATTCAGATAGTATACTCATACACACAAAAATAATAAAAAAGGTTCAGGCATAGTGGCGCATGCCTTTAATCCCAGCACTTGGGAGGCAGAGGCAGGCAGATCTCTGTGAGCTTGAGGCCAGCCTGGTCTACATAGCGAGTTCCAGGACAGCTGGGGCTACAGGGAGACCCTGTCTCAAAAAGACCAAAACAATAATAATAATAATAATAAATAAAACTATCAAAAATAATAAGAACTCTTTTAAAAAAGGAAATGTCCTTTCCTTTGAATTTTTGAACAGTTTCAAGATTCACACTACCCTGGAACTAGTGATTTTCCTGTCTCAGCCTTCAAATGTTGGGATTACAGATGAGCACCATATCTAGCTTCCACTTTTCTTTCTGAAAAAAAAAAAATGTCTTCTTACTTTTTTGCCTATTGGGGGGGGTCGGTGCATGTCACAGTGCACATGTGGAGGTCAGAGAACAACTTTCAAGAGTTGGTTCTCTCCTTCCACCACGTGGATCCCAGGGATTGAACTCAGATCATCAGTCTTGGCTGCAAGCACCTTAATTCACTGAGCCATCTCGCTGGCTCATGCTTTTCTTTCTTATGGGTACATCTGGGTGCTCCTGGTGTGCAGTGTTGGAGTTTCAGAGGAGCCAGGGAAGGCTAGGTAGATCTCTCAGGGGGTGGGCAGGAACAGGCTGATGGCAACAGTGGCATGGAGTCCCCGATCCACTTACCTATGTGTGGGGGCATCACAGCTACATACTTCAGGCCCGATTCCTGTAGCACCTTGTGCATCCGGATGTGGTCATTGGTCACATCCTGCAGGCGTGGAGGCACCTTGGTTGGGTCCCATAGCAGGAAAGCTAGTGGGAAGGACACAGGGCAGGGTCAGCCTGGGCTATACAAATCATTTAATGGTTCACCGTTGCCTTCCAGCTTCCAAAATGCAGGCCCCTTGGCCCCCTCTCTTTTATAGAAGTGACAGCAGACTAGTCATTCTAAATCTGATCTCCTCTCACCCCACCTGGCCTGTATACTGTACCCCCTTATCTCTAAGCCCTCATCCTCCCCATAGCAAGAGGACCTGTGAACATGTGAATGAGACCCAGATTCTCTGCAAGAGCAGTCAGTACTGTTAACTGTTGAATCATCAATCCGGCCCTTCTAACTTGTTTTTTATGACACAATGTCTTGCTGAACTTGAAGATCACCAATTTGGCTAGACCACTGACCAGTAAGACAGAGGGGATCTGGTGTGTTGGCATTAAAGGCATGGGCTATTATGCCTGGCCAACAGTAACACTTTCAAATTCAGAGATTTGCCTGCCTCTGCCTCTCAAGTGCTGGGATTAAAGGCATGGGTGATCATGCCTGGCTGAACAGTAACAATTTTTGAATCCATGTGGCAGGTGTTAAGTCTATAAGTTTTCCTTTATTTGACAGGATTGCATGTAGCCCAACCGTACTTTTGTGGGGAACAGGGACTACAGATTAAAAGAATTTTGCAATTTGCTCCACAGAAAGAAAACTTGTTTTAACCATTCACAGTGGTCTCTAAGACATGAAAGGAAAAAAGAAATTAAGAACCAATCTTTCTAAAATTGCAAGTTTAAGATTACTTTTCTTTGCAAAGCTTGGGGGAAAATAGCTATAAGTAAGTTTTCTTCCTGGCCTCTGTTTGGGCCTGGGCTCCTGGCCTTTGAATTCTGTGTACTGGGTGACTCGAGTGTAGTAACTCTCACCGTGCAGCCCTTCCTCATGCCCCTTCCCTTCCTAGGGAGGTGATCTGTGGGAGTCACCCAGAGGTAGGGCGTGGAGGCTGTGTAGACAGAACTTGGAACATCTCCCAGGACTGACAGGCCACAGTGGTGTGCGCACCGGCCAGCTAATCGGTCTGGCTGTGCTGTGGTCTTGAGCTAACAAAGAGAGGTAATAGCCAACATCTTCTAAGCAGATACTAGCTATGAGCAACTTATATTCAAAGAAGTTTTGGGAGGATTAAGTGGCTTTCATTCCTAACTACCAGGCATTCAGTAAGTGTTCAGTAAATGCTGTTAGCATTCCTTGTTCTTGTTAACTTTTTGGACTACTGAAAACACTATTTTTCCTTCTTTGTGGGTCTGAGGATAGCACTTAGGACCCTGTGCATGCTAGATGGTGCTCTACCACTGAGCCATGCCCCAGCCCCTCACTGGGGGATTCTAGGTAAGCTCTTGACCATTGAGCCATACCCAGGCTCCTCACTGGTGGAGTCTAGGCGAGTGCTCTACCACTGAGCCATGCCCAGTCCCTCACTGGGAGAGTCTAGGCGAGTGCTCTACTGCTGAGCTAGGGCCTAGACTCTCAGGAACCTACTATTTAATGTCTGTCTCTCCATAACTATGAAGGGCAGAGAGCTGTGTACAGCCCATTCTTGTCCACCCCTGGCCCTGACCCCTCGGCCAATGCCTCTTCCATGCCGGCTCTGCTCATCTAAGATGTCAGTTTGACCGTGGATCTGTTTAGCACCTCACTTTTATCCTGAGCCACATAGTGCAGAATCCCAGGCTCACCAACATGCTTACAACTGGTGCTCAATAAATGCATGGTAACTTGGGGTAGCATCAGTACCACCTTTTGGAGGACTCTGGGTTGCCTGTCCAGTTCCCATCCCTCAGTTCAGTCCCACCTCCATGACCCCACCACCCACCCGAGGTGCAGGCCACGACCTTGTCCACTCCGTGAGCCTTCATGGCTGTGACAATATTCCGGGTCCCCTCGGACATCACTGTAGTGGGACCTTAGAGGGGACAGAGAGTGGCTGTCACTGGTGGTTGGCGGTGGTGGTGGTGGCAGGGGTGGCAAGGGTGGGGCTGGGGGTGGGGGTGGCACAGGAGGCCGAGGTACAGGGAGGGGCCGAGGGCAGAGGGGGGGTTCAGTACTGAGGTCATTGCCAGTGCCCAGCAACACAATGACAGCATCCTGCCCAGCCACGGCCTTGTCCACATCAGCTGCCTGCAGAACGTCACCCACCACCACGTGGGCAGGCTGGGGCCCCTCTGAGGGCAGCTTGTTAGCGTCTCTCACCAGCACAGTCACCTCGTAACCTGTGGGCAAAGAGGAGCAGACAGGCAGGTCAGTGGGCCTGCGGGTTATCTCAACTGGACCCTGGAGAGTTTTGGGAACCCCTAAATCCATTTTTCCCGGCTTCTCCACAAATTCTTTTTCCTTCTTTCTTTCTTTCTTTCTTTCTTTCTTTCTTTCTTTCTTTCCTTCCTTCCTTCCTTCCTTCCTTCCTTCCTTCCTTCCTTCCT